GAGCACAGAATTCTGTGTTTCTGGGGGTTTGAAGCAGAGATTCCCTCCTGACTTGCAACAACTCCCCACAGTACTACTAGTAGCTACTACCACCCTACTACTGCTGCCTAGACAGCTTTCAAATGATGCTACCCAGCTAAAACAAATATTTAGTTTGGTGTGAACACCTGAGACTTCCTGAGCTCACCAGGGAGAAGGGAGAAGCTCCATTTGGCACAAAACTGTACAAAAGTCCCACAGAAAAACTTTTATTTCCACTATTTTTCCCCACTCTCATCCCAAAATGCTGTTACCCAATCCCAGAGTGTGGGCTGAGCAGAGCTCAGGGATGTCTGGCAACCCCCAGGGAAGCAGCCAAAGATAAAAGTGTCCAAAAAGAGAAGAAAACAAGTGAGTAATTCATTTTTCCACTCAATATCTGGGTCACAGGATTCTTTTCCTTCTGAGCTCCAATTCACCACAACTTTCCTGACAGATTTTTAGTCCTGGGAAGGCCAAAACAGCAATTTCAGAGCAGCTTCACAGCAGGTCCCCAAGGAATCCGTTTCCAATCAGTTTTCAATCAGTTTGCACTCCCCTCACTCCCCAGAGGCACGGAAAAGGAGGATCCCTCTCTCCCAACCTCCCGAGGAGGTTCCCATCTCTGTTTTCCCGGCAGGATTTTCCCCCAGGATCAGTTTTTGCCTGGATCACTGAGCAGGGAGAAGCTGGAGAAGGAGTCAGAGCTGTCCCTGCTGTGGATTCTGCCTTTCCCAGCCAGCATGGGGCTGCTGGACATGAACAGAACATTTCTCACTGATTTCTGACACCAGGCAGCAGAGGTTGTTCCAGGGTTGCTCTTGTGTCCAGGTGAGACTGTGAAATGTCCACCTGGGTATTTGAAAATTGCATTTCCTACTCCAATTTACGCAAATATTGCACGAGGTCACCTGGCTTTTCCCTTTCCCTTTCACCTCCCTACTCCTAAATTAGGATTTCCAGGGCAGCTTGGGATGGGAAACAACTCCCCAAATCTTCCCTTTCAATTCTGGGATCTTCAGCTGGCAAAAACTAATGCTTCATTCTCAAAAGTGTATTTTAAAGTGCAGGACAACAACTCCTGGAGCTGCTGTTTCCTAGAAGATCTTGGTCAAGAGAAAAGAAGGGACAGCAAAAACCACCTGCATCCAGCAGCAAGGTAGGGATTATTCCAGGTTTGGCATTTTGTTGCCAGGAAAGAAAGTCTCATTTTACCTAACTTGGAAGATCTTTCCCATCTAAGAGAATTCCCAGTCCTGTTTCCAATTACCAGTTTCAACAGCTCATGGGCTAATAAAGTCAGTATTCAATTACAGTGCTCATTATTAAATTCCACCAAAAATTATCCTGATTTTACAAGATCCAGTAATAAAGTAACCAATAGGAAATCAGCCTACTTTCAAAAATAATTAAAAACCAGACAAACCTAAGAAAATACCCAAATCCCAATATTTCTGCCTCTTGCCTTCACGTAATACAGCAAATTCCTTGCAGGAAATTCTTTTCATTTTTTTTCCAGGGGAGGACAGGAAAGAAGGAAGTGCCCACTTTTAGTGCATTTCTCCTCTTGTTTTCATAGAGTGTGCAAAAAAAAAAAAAAAAAAGGAAATAAACTGCAGAGAGTGGTTCCAGGGAGCTCCTACAGCACCCAGCACTGAGGAAATAAGGAGCAATTTCACTTCTCTATAATGAGCCAATTATTTGCCTTCCTGTATGAGGAGACAGGTGGCTGATAGAGGTTGGAAAAACCCCTTTCCCTCCCCACAAATATTCACTTAAATATTCACTTATTCTTCAGCCAGGCGCAGGTGTTTATATACGGAAATATTTACATGTAGACATATGCAAAGTGCCCAGGAGCTACAGAAGGAGCATGTGTACTTTTGGAGAGTATGAAATAACAGAGAATTCCTGTCATAGGTGTTTGTAGCAATTTCACAGGAAAACTTCAATATCCCAGGAGCATTTCCGTGCTCAGCACCCAGTGATCTCTATAATACAAGGGCTGCATTAATTAATGCATCTTAGATATTTCTAGTTGGTTTGGAATATCTTTTTTAAAGGGGGAGATTTAACACTACACCCTCTTACTCAGTTTTAGGAGCTGCACAGGACAAGTGGTGGAAGATCTCCAGATCCTGGAAAGGATCCAGTGGAATCCAGTGCTGCCTTTGGCACCTCACACTGGGAACCCAGAACAAGCAGCCCTTGCTCTCAGGAGCTGCCCAGAAGAATCCAGGATCCAGAATTTGTTCTGAGAACCCAGAACAAGCAGCCCTTGGTCACAGAAGCTGCCCAGCAGAATCCAGAATCCAGAATTTGTTCTGGGAACCCAGAACAAGCAGCCCTTGCTCTCAGGAGCTGCCCAGCAGAATCCAGGATCCAGAATTTGTTCTGGGAACCCAGAACAAGCAGCCCTTGCTCTCAGGAGCTGCCCAGCAGCAGGAGCACAGAGCTGGATTTAAATCCCATCCCTCGGCTCCCCAGGAAGGTGATGCATTCCTTCCAGGATCTACAGCCTGGGACAAACATTCCCCAGAAGTTTTTGCCTGATCCTGTACTTTCAGAAAGTGAATAAGCTGTAAAAAGAAAACCCCAAACCTGGAGGAGGAGGAGGACTCTACCCCGAGCACCACCTTGAGCATCCCTGGCAAGCTCCCCATGACGGGAAGGCTCTTGTCCCCGTAGCTGCTCCTCTCTGGGACTCCTGTCCCGTTCTGCCACCTCAATTCCAGGTGATTTTTGGAAGATTAAGGTACATTTTCTGGTGGGAACCGCATCAAAGCAGCTCCTGAGGAGAGCCAGGGGTCCCAGGAGGGACGAGGCTGTGGGACAGCGGCCCCTGAGGAAGGGGACAGTGATCCCTGAGGAGAGCCAGGTGTCCCTGAGGATGGGGATAAGGGACAAGGGGATAAGGGACAGCGATCCCTGAGGAGAGCCAGGGGTCCCTGAGGAAGGGAATAAGGGACAGCGGTCCCTGTGGGGTCCGGGGTGTCCCTGAGGAAGGGGATACAGGACAGCGGTCCCTGAGGAGACCCGGGTGTCCCTGAGGATGGGGATAAGGGACAGCGGTCCCTGAGGATGGGGATAAGGAACAGCGGTCCTTGCGGGGTCCCGGGTGTCCCCGAGGAAGGGAATAAGGGACAGCGATCCCTGAGGAGACCCGGGTGTCCCCGAGGATGGGGATAAGGGACAGCGATCCCTGCGGGGACTCGGGTGTCCCTGAGGAAGGGAATAAGGGACAGCGATCCCTGAGGAGAACCAGGTGTCCCTGAGGATGGGGATAAGGGACAGCGGTCCCTGAGGGGACTCGGGTGTCCCCGAGGATGGGGCAGCGGCTCTTGAGGGACGCGGGATGGCGCCCGGTGCCCTGCGTGGGAACGCGCTCAGCTCGGTTACATATAACAATACTAACGTAATAACTGCTAACAATACTAAAGTAATAACTACTCTTAATCACACTTACCCGCCGGCTCCCCGCTTACCTTCAGCGTAGCCTTGCGGACCTGCCCGAGCGCCCGGAGCCCGCCGAGCGATCCCGCCTGGCAGTTGCGGTACTGCAGGGCCACCCGCGCCGCCGCCGCGGCCGAGCGGCTGCCGGGCTCCAGCGCCTGCCCGGCCCGGCTGCCCCGGGGCACGGCGAGCAGGAACAGCAGCAGCAGGGCGGGCGGTGAGGAGCGGAGCCCCGGCATGGTGCGGGCAGCGGCGGGCACTGGGCGGGCTCGGCCCCGCTCCCGTACAAATAGCGCGGCCCGCCCGCCCTCCGCCCGCGGCAGCGCCCGGCCCGGCCCGGCCGCGACTCCCCTCCCTCAGTCCCTCAGCCCTCCCACCCACAGCCCCGCGCTGAGCGGAGCCGGGCGCGATGGGGACACGGAGGGTTGAACACGCTGGGGGGACTTGAGAGGGATCGGGGTATTGAGGGGAGCAAGGGGGTTTGAGGGGTCTGAGACTTCCAAGGGGAGCCAGGGGAATTTGAGGGGCTCGCACGTTTCTGAGGGGAGCTGGGGGAATTTGAGGGGGTCGGAGGCTTCTGAGGGGAGCTGGGGGAATTTGAGGGGGTCGGAGGCTTCTGAGGGGAGCTGGGGGAATTTGAGGGGGTCGGAGGCTTCTGAGGGGAGCTGGGGTAATTTGAGGGGGTCAGAGGCTTGTGAGGGGAGCTGGGGGAATTTGAGGGGGTCGGAGGCTTCTGAGGGGAGCTGGGGGAATTTGAGGGGGTCGGAGGCTTCTGAGGGGAGCTGGGGGAATTTGAGGGGGTCGGAGGCTTCTGAGGGGAGCTGGGGGAATTTGAGGGGGTTGGAGGCTTCTGAGGGGAGTCCAGAGAATTTGAGGGGTCGGAGGCTTCTAGGGGTGCATGGGGAATTTGAGGGGTGTCAGGTACTGAGGGGAGCCTGGAGAATTTCAGGGGGTCTGAGACTTCCAAGCAGAGCCAGGGGAATTTGAGGAGGTCAGAGGCTTCTGAGGGGAGCTGGGGTAATTTGAGGGGGTCAGAGGTTTCTGAGGGGATCCCAGAGAATTTGAGGGGTGTCAGGTACTGAGGGGAGCCCGGGGAATTTCAGGGGGTCTGAGACTTCCAAGGGGAGCTGGGGGAATTTGAGGGGGTCAGAGGCTTCCAAGGGGAGCCCAGAGAATTTGAGGGGTGTCAGGTACTGAGGGGAACCTGGAAAAATTGAGGGGGTCAGAGGTTTCTGAGGGGAGCTGAGGGAATTTGAGGGGGTTGGAGGTTTCCAATGGGAGCCGGGGGAATTTGAGGGTGTCAGAGGCTTCTGAGGGGGGCATGGGGAATTTGAGGGGTGTCAGGTACTGAGGGGAGCCTGGGGCACTTGATGGGGACCAGCAGTTCTGAGAGAAACCAGGAGGATTTGAGGGGCACCGAGGACTTGGAGGGCAGCTAGGGGACTTCAGAGGGACCAGGGTATTTAATGGGATCCAGGGGGAATTGAGGGGAGCCAGAGGAGCTTGGGGGGGTCAGAGGGAATTCAGGGGTCCTAAGGGAAGCCAGGGGGGATCAGGGGTTCTGAGAGGAGATGAGGGGGCCTGGGGGACTTGAAAGATGCTGGAACTTGAGCAGGACTGGGAGTTCTGAGGGGAGCCAGGGACACCGAGGGTCACAGGATTTGTCTGAAGGGCGCCTGCAGCTCGAGCAGATGTGCAGTCCTGACACAGATCAGAGCACACACAGGTAATGGTTGGAAAAATGCAGTTAGCTCCTTCTCAGCGTTACCACAACTCAACACCTCCCAAAAGTCCAGAGCCTCGCTCAGACCATGGCACGCTTTGCCTGGGACACAGCAGAAATATTCCAAGTATAATGCACAAGAAGCATTCATCTCTGGGATAAATATCACTTAGCAAAGTTTTTGGAACCAGTTTAGTCATGTCTTGGTAACATGAAGAAAATCAACAGAGAAAGCAGCCAGATTCCCTTAAAATTATGTTTGGGATAGAAGTGGGCTTGTTGCCCTGCTCCTCCTGGAAGCATCTCCCTTGGAGAGACTGAATGTGGTAAAATGTTAAAGGCTCAGCACTTCCTGTGTTAAAAAAGCTGATTTTTAATGACCTGCTCGATTACCATCCCAGCAGACAGGGGTTTGTATGTGCAGCTGGGAATCTATTTTTGTGCTCTGCATGAGTATTGGGGCAGGTTTCTGGGCTGGGACCTCAGAGAAGTAAATCAAAACTAAATCAAAACTCTGGTTAAGGACTCAAACTGTCTCCTGTGGAGCTTTAAGTCTCTTTTTATTACTGGAATACTTTTTCACAGAATTGGAAATGTAGTATTTCTGAAGCTTTCCTAAGTGAGGGAAAGAATTATTACAGTAAAGGTATAATATCATTCCTTAATACAGTTTTTCATATCACCCAGCTAATTTTCCTGAATTTGTAGATTATGATTTTCCTTCCTGAAATATATTCTGTAATTAACAGTTTGTATCTTTTCATGCCAGGCTGGAGGGGGCTTGGAGCAACCTGGACTAGCAGAAGGTGTCCCTGCCTGGTGCCAAGGCTAGCTGGAGGATGATTTTTTCTTTACTGGGACATGTGCCATGTTTGTCTCCAATATTTTTCCAGAAGAAAGCAACATCTTCTCGTTCTCCTCGCTGTGGTGGCAGCGCAGACGTCCCTTTTAGACCGAGATCCACAGGCTGATTGCCCTCGGCTGGCAGCGGGAGGGGTCGGGCAGTGCCAGCTGTGTCCTGTCCTGCCCTTCCTGCAGCGCCCTGGCTGTGGGACGAGCGCCGAGGATCCCGTGGGAGCGCAGGAAGCGCCGCTCCTTGGAAAGGCGAGCGGGGCCGGCCGGTGAGGAGCCTTTGGTGCAGGATGTCGGCGAGGGTGGGGCGGGAGCGGCTTCTCCTGCTGCTCGGGGAAGGAGTTAAACCCACCCTGCGCGAGGGTTTCACACCGCCTTCGGTTGTGGGGGAGTTTCTTAAAAAGAGGTAAAAGCCTCTAAATGCGGTTTTGTCACAAAAAGCCTGCCAGGCTCAGAGCCGAGCCCTGGGGCGCTGCCTCCATCCCTGACTTTGGATACACTTCCTTTCCTGCTGTCCCAGTGACAGGGCAGTTTCCTTCCTCCCCAGGGCAGCCCGGGGGCTGTGAGTAACCCAGAGTCAGTGTGACAGGGCACTGAACCCTGGGACAAAGCAGGGACAAACCCAGGGCAGTCTCCTACACTGCTGCAGGGATCATGCTGCCGTAGTCTGCAGTTGATCTGAATTTACAAAACAAATTGACTTGGGAAAAACAGAAGTTCAGATGCTGAACAGGTTCAGGTCAAGGCTGGGGCATGTTTGTAGCTGTGCACAAGGTTTTGTGCTTCCACAACATTTAGGAAATATATTTATTTTAAGCTCTGAGGGTTTTGTAAAAGCTGGAAGTGCATCCTTCAAGAGCCAAGGTTGCTTCAGGCTCTGTGGTGAGGGTGAAATGAAGCTCTGCAGTGTGTCAGAGCTGAACCAAAGGAGATGAGGGAATTACCTGACCTGGAAAGATGCATCCACTGCTGGAGTGAGTCCTGAGGATGATCAGAGGGATGGAGCAGCTCTGCTGGGAGAAAAGGCTGGAGAATGGGGATTGCTCAGCCTGGAGAAGCTTTGGGGTGGTTTCACTTGTGGCCTCATCTGAAGGGCCTACAGGAAGGATGGAGGGAGAGTATTTCCAAGGGATGGAGGGACAGGACACAGGGAATGAATTCCACTGCCAGAGGGCAGGGATGGATGGGAGATTGGGGAAAATTCCTGGCTGGGAGGGTGGGCAGCCCTGGCACAGGGTGCCCAGAGCAGCTGTGGCTGCCCCTGGATCCCTGGCAGTGTGCAAGGCCAGGTTGGACAGGGCTGGGAGCACCTGGGACAGTGGGGGGTGTCTCTGCCATGGCTGGGGTGGGGCTGGATGGGATTTAAGGTCCTTTCCAACCCAAACCATTCCATAATTCCATCATTCTGTATATTCTGGCTAATTAGAATGTGGTGTAGGTAGGTTTTGTCCTTTACAGTATTTTTCCCTCTCATCCCACATAATTTGCTGCAGCAAAGAGGACGGAGCTGGTGCCAGTTCCATCTCACAGAGCTCTGCCCCGTCCCCTTCTCTGTCCCCTGCAGGAACCAGGACATTCTGGGAAGCCCCCGAGGTGGTTTGCATCACACTTCTGTCACAGCTGACTTGGACCCTTTGGAACTGCAAATGAGGCTTGGTTCAGGCAGTGGCTCTAAAAAGCATTCTGAGGTTTGTATTTTCCTTTTTCATACATTAAGTGCTTGTTTAGAGGCCAGTTATTCCTAATTAGTTTCATATTTGGAGCGATTTCTATATGCCCTGTACACACCAGACCTCACTGACTCACAATCATTACCAGCTGACCGTAATTTAATACAGTGAATTTGGACAAAATTCACTTCATTTGGTTGTGCAACTTTTCCAGTTTTAACTTCACCATCTTGTTGTAGTTATGAACAAGTTCTGTTACTTGATTTTAACTGATTTGGGATTTATTCTCAGTAATTAATCCCATTTTTTTAATTACTCTAAAAATATTTTGATGGATTAATCAAGAATTGGTCACTTTTTAATGCATTGCTGGGCTGACCTTACCTATAGGAATAAAATATGGGTATTGATTTAGTGAGGAAATTTATATTGATTTATTCCAGCAAAATTTGGTTTTGAAGGCTTCTGATTATTTTTAAATCACAGATAGGATTTTTATTTTAAAGAAATATTTGTATTTTGTGTCAGCAGGCATTCTGTCACTCCAGCCCCTTGCAAATTGTCTTTTTCCATCTTTCTTGAAGCTCCTCTCAGGTACTGGAAGGCCATAATTAGGTCACCCCAGCACCTGACTTTTAAGGGACAATATTTAAATCATCCAGGAAGCTCTGGGTGATACCTTCTAGCCAAAACAAGCTCATTGATGCTGTGTGCATTATTTTGTGTATTTTTATGTTGGGTTTAAAATGTGTGCCAAGGTCCTATACAATTGAAATGGCACCAGGAAGTTTCTGGGCTCTTTTAGCTGCTGTTCCCACTTCTCCAGTGAATTGTCCAGCACTTCTGCTGCTGGTGTTGGAGGCTCCTCCAGCCTGAAGGTTGATGGTGTAAAGTCACCTTAAATGCCCCATTTCATTCACTTTGGTATTTTTACTGTATCAAACCAATACTTTTGCAGTGTTAGACATTCCCACATAGAAAAAACCCCTTGTGACCCCAGTGAAACAAAGAAGCACAGAAACTCCCAAGCACATCAGCATTTACAGGATCCTCTTTTATTGCACTTCCCCAAATGTTGTTTTGCAAGGAAATTGGAATAAACCTGCCATGACCTTATCCCAGGAAAGTGAGAGGACATGGATTATAAACAGGGAGTCAATCATTACAGATGATCACTGTGATCCTGATGTTGGAGAGAGACACAGAACATTTGGCAAACCTCTTTGGGACCATTTCCTTTGAATTCTGGAGCTGCTATGGAACAGAGAAAGCTTTCCAGAGAAACAAATCCCTTCCATGCCCAGTGAGATCCCGTCACCCAGAGCCAGGAATAAACACGGGCAGCAAATAATCCCTGTTAATAACCTGAAATCACTGTGTTGCCTTGTGAAACTGTAACAAAAGCATGTGGGATCATGCTCAGGCCTGTTTAAAAACAAACAGTAATTAAACAGCCCTTTGGAGCTGAGCTGCTGAGGGGAATATCTGCTGTTTGGAGTGCTTGATGGCTGTCACAGGGGAGCTCAGCTGGGATGTTTGGTTGTTGGACAGCTCTTGCAGCAGTTCTGCCTCTCCAGAGATGTTTGGGCAGATCCCTAAAAGGTGGGAATCTGAAATGAAGCCTCTACAGCACTGTTCAGACGGAATTCCTGGCAGATGATGGACGTGGAGGCACAACCCCTCACCCCACAAAACTTTAATTTGTTTGAGGCTAACATTTACTTACCTGATAGCAATAGAAATCCCCTTGTACTGCTGACTTTTTGACACTGATTCTGTAAGATTCAGTCCCTGTGAAACGAGGGCTGCAACAGCACAATAACTTGGCAGGTGTTTGGTTGCACAATGTTTGGAGAAGGGATTAAATATTTGCACAACAAGGGGGTGATGCCTCAGGGATGTTTGATATAAGGTGAGGACAGCAGAGGGATTCTCACCAAAATTCCTCAGCACAGTCTCTCACCAGCCACCCCTCTCTGCAAGGTGACAGTGGGCCCTCAGAGAGGAGGGAATTTTCCATGTCCTGCTCACTGGATCCCCTCTCTGTGCCCTTCTCCAGGAGCTGGAGATGCTGAGCTCTGAGGTTCCTTTCATCAAAACCCAAAAGGGACAGGAACCCCTGTGGGGACAGCCCTGCACCCTCACTGCTCTGGGCACACCTCAAAGGTGATCCTGACATTATTGATTTCATAATTGTTAACATCTCTTAGACAAAATAATACATAAAAATATTCCTCATTGAGACCTTCCTTGAGTAGCTGGGGATGTTATTTAGTGTGGAAAACAGATAGAATTTATTGTCAATTCTGTTCTAAGAATAATTTTTGTTGCAGGGAGATTAATTAACTTAAATGTGGCCTTTTATCTTCACATGCAAACTTTGTACTTAGGTTTTTTAAAGATTTGCTCACAGTTAAACACTTATACCCTGTATTTATGTCAGTAGATACATAAATTACCCATGGAATTGTTCATTGGATTTCATGATGTTGGAGATATTTTCCAGCCTTAACGATTCTGGAATTCTATTACCCAATTTTCAGCTCACCTATAAAATGTGTGATGATAATTCACAGGTTTTTAATTTTACTCTTCTGCAGGATTTCCAGTACCCAAGTGATTGAAACAGACTGAGCACCCTGACAGAAAGAAAGGCAGGTTATTCTTCTGGAACCCCTACAATATCAAAGAACAAATCAAAATCCACAATGTGATTTGTTTGTATTGTAAAGTTCATATTTGGCTCTTGTAGGCACCACTCCTGGGACTTAAAAATCAACTAGGATTACATTTTAGCCTGAGTATTAAATGGGCATGGAATTAAAACATCAGAGCAGCTATGTCCAATTCTTTTAAGTAATTAATGTATATAAAATCTCATTTCCATACTGATTAATGGTTTGGTTTCTCTCATCTCTCATTGGTCAGTGAATTATCTCACAATAATCTCGTTTTCTTGGTTGTGATTAGCAATAACTCCTCTTTGTTCTTTTCTGCATCACTGTGTTCCCAGAACTTCTGAGAAAATGATCTTTTTCCCCTGGATTAGTCACGGTGTTAGGACAAACATGGCCTTGTTTCCTCATGAAATGTATCAGCACCACTGTGTTTATTTCTCCACAGCCTTGACCAGCAGGAGGATGGGGGAGTCCAACTGAAGATTTGGATGCAAACTTCTGGTGAAATGGCAGCTTTTGCAAAGTTCAGTGTGGGCAGTGCTGGAGTGCCTGACCAGTGTTTATCCTGCACAAACTCCAAGGGAGAGGCGAGAGCCGTGAGCTCAGCGTGGCTTTGATCCAGTCACCAACTGCCCAAAGCACTTCTAAACATGTCAGGCTCAAGGAACAGCTTGTGGAGAGCAGGAGAGGGCCACAGTCATTCCCAGCAGCTTTCATTCCCCATGGAGGCACTACAAGGAGAAAGCTCCTCCACTTTCATCCCTGGGAAGAGGGAGGGAGTTGGTGTGAGCTGGCACAGCTTCCCCACCACATCACCAGCCCCATCCCAGGGAGGGAGTGACCAGGGCTGTGCTCACCATTCCCTGTGCTCCACTGGAGCAGTGGAGCAGAAAAGCTGCAATGGCCACTGATGTTTAGTGGTTTTCCTACAGAGTGAGAGTTTTTAGGAGAGACAGAAAATGGAAATGGGAAGAGTTTCATGTCTAAATGTCTATTTATTGTCTAAATGGTGATTCTGGCTTGGAAAATGGTTCTTTGGTACCTTCCAATGTTCACGGAATCGTGGAATTCCAGACTGGATGGGGTGGAAGGGACCTTAAATCTCACATTCCCAGCCCCTGCCATGGGCAGGGACAACTTCCACTGTCCCTGGCTGCTCCAGCCTGGCCTGGGACACTTCCAGAGATCCAGGGGCAGCCACAGCTGCTCTGGGAATTCCAACCCACCCAGGGAAGGATGGGGGTTATAATGTTTGGGTTTGATTTAGAATAGAAAGCCAAGTCCAGGATGGGTTTGTTAATTTTTTTTTTCCCAAAGAAAAAATGCCTTCAGAGTTGTGGAATTTTATTCTTCGAGGTATTGGTGTTACAGAATGTGCTGAAGTATTTGTATGGGAAAATTAATGAAATTATCCCAGATTAAATAATTTGCTGCCAGTTAAGAGCCTGGTGCTATCATTTTTAGATTGGTGATGTGTTTACAAACAACACACTGCCACATCTACATAAATTATAAATAAATATATATATTTAGTGAGAGAGGTGTAACCCATGATTGAAGTGATATTGTGGTTGAATCCCTCATATCATCCACTTTTCCCTCTGAAAGGATTTAATTGTCCAAACAAATAGAGAAAGTTTAAGGGAAATTCTTACATAAAGGAAAAAGGGAGAACTTTCCCTTTTTTCTGTGTAAGCCATTGCAGAGTTTCCCTGCAGAAAGCTTCAACCTGTATTGACATTTTGGTTCCCTTTTTTCCCTGATCCTGGCTGCCCCTGATTCCAGAGAACAATGGGAGGGGAGTGAGTGCTGAGGGTATTTAAAGCACAATCATGGGAAATGCTCCCATCACACAGAGCCCTTTTCCTTCCCCTGGCGAATCCCCTGGCTGTGCTCCAGAGCCTCTTCCCCAGGGAATTGTTCACATGGAGAACTCCTGAATTGCAGGGACACCGTTGGAAGGGCACAAGGACACCCCATCCAAGGCCCAGGATCCACTTTCCTGCTGCATTCAGAAGGTGCTGCTGGGGGAATCACACTGATTCTAACAGCTCCAAAGGTCAGAGACTTCTTTTTAATAATTTTTTTCCCAGCCTTCTTAAATCTACTGATCAGTTTTCCATATTTGTAGTGATAGTGAGGTTTGAGAGGCAGCAGATACCTAATTTATACCTAAATTTGATTTAGGTTTGATTTGCCATTTCATAGCAAGACTCTTCAAAGGGAGGGGAGTGATATTAATATTTCCCATGGTTGGGAGAGGAAATGCCTGGCAATCCCAGGGGAAGAGTCACAGCACCTGTGCTGAACTCACCCAGATTTTTGGCAGGAATTATCTAATTGCTCATTGTGAGTGGAACAGAAAACAGTTCTGACACAAAGCAAGACAAGGTTTCGATGAGCTGGAGAAGGTAACAGAAATAGGTTGTGTGTTAAAAGAAATGTCAGGGGTAGAAGATCAATACCAAAAATCAAACCAAATCAATTCTTCCTTCTTTTATTTGTGCTGTGTTTCCATCTTTCCATTTGCTGTGTTTCCTTTCCAAAGCAAGGAAGGGGCAGGAGTTTAGGAGAGTCTGGTTCAGGTGAGTCTTGCTGATAAAGCAACTTGGGTTTCCGTGATCAATCTTCTTAATTAACTAAAAATGCAGAATTTGAAGAAGCTGTTGGATTTTCTGCAGTTGGCTGCAGGAGACTTTTCTCAGACTGTTGGCTGAAGGTTGGGGTGTTCAGCCTGGAGAAGGAAAAGATCTGGGGAGATTTAATTGGGGCCTTCCAAGACCTAAAGGGAGCCTGAAAGAGCTGGAGAGGAACCTTGGAGAAGGACCTGGAGTGCCAGGACAAGGGGGAATGGCTTTAAACTAAAGGAGGAGAGATTTAGGTGGGATCTTGGGAAGGAATTCCTCCCTCTGAGGGTGGGGAGGGGTTGAGATGGAATTCCCAGAGCAGCTGTGGCTGCCCCTGGATCCCTGGCACTGCCCAAGGCCAGGCTGGAGCAGCCTGGGACAGTGGGAGGTGTCCCTGCCCGTGGCAGGGGTGGGGCTGGATGAGCTTGAAGGTCCTGCCATCCCAAACCATTCCATGATTCCACCCCAAAGAGAACCTTGTTATGGAGCCAGCAGTGTCTGGGGGCTAAAGCACCTTCCCAGCTGTTGATCAGAACAGGAATTTCAGACATTTTATCTGTTTTTTCTTGCTTATCCCTTAGCTGAGAGGTGATGGGAACAACTGGCAGGAGCATCCCCAAGCCCTGGGGGTGGGACACTTTGGGAGGGGGACACTTTTATAACCATTATTGGCTTTGAGGCTTATCCTGAGCCAACAGAACCGAGAATAAATTGTCACTTCAGGGCCAGCATTCAGTGCCAGCTCAGAGAAATGCAGGATGGCTGTGGCAGGTATTAAACACCCCGAATAAACCCTGGGGGAGGATCCCAGGGTAACAATGCCTGCTTGCCAAGTCTGTTTGCAGAGTGCACAAAGCAACAAGGAAAACATTGCAACAGCACAAAGGTTTTCTTCCAGATCCACCGCAGGCTGCTGCGTCAGCAGAGCTGCTCGTTGGTGCTTTCCTTCCAGCCCCAAAGTGGGATTGAGCCAGGCACTGAATCCATGGGGATTGGGATGCTGTGGCTGGAGGATAAACCCCCAGCCAAGGCCCCCAGGGAGCCAATTATGCTGCTTGGACCCCATTTATTTTCACTTATTTCCTTGAAGATGTGTGTGTGGGGAGCAGTGATTCATCCAGGCCCTCTTCCCAGTGCTGTGGGATGGGTGTTTGTTTCCTATTTCCTGGAAGCACTCGGTGTTTGGGGAAGGCTGCTGGGCCTCGAGGAGCTGCTGGACACCATCCACAGCCACTATCAGGCACTTTGTGCTGGGTGGGATCCCTGAGGATCCCAGCCCTTCAGCTTTGCAGGGAAATCACTTCTCCTTTGGGGCACGCAGGGTGTGAGGCTGGCTCTGGGAAATATTCCCAGGGAAGAAAGGCTGGGAATGTGCTGACAGCAGCACTGCTCTTTCAGGTGTCAGTGTAAGAAGCTTATAAAAAAGCTCCAGTTTTGCTTGGTGAGCAGAAAGTGGGTGCAGGGAAATGGGCTGGGAATGTGTGGAGCAGAAGCTGAAAGGATGTTGGGACAGCCCAGGCTGGAGGCAGGAATGCTCAGCAGGGAAGGAACAGGCAGCCTTAAAAGGAAGAGAAAACTTGAACATGTGAGTTCTAGACAAAAAAAAAAATTATACAAATCTGATGAATTATGACCAACTTGCAGCATGATTTTGGTGAAGTGACTTTGGAAAAGAAAGGTTTGGGCTCGTGAGGATGCAGATTTGGAACCCCTGACTGGCAGAGCTGTGATCTGAATTTTGGTGGTGGTGCCACCCCTCCTCCCCAGCAGCACCAGAGCAGGGCTCAGATGTGCTTGTCCCACCCCTTATCTCCAGTGCATCTGCTGGCTCTAATTCCCTGCAATAATCAGATTTTAAGGAGTTCTAAATGCCCTCATCAGTTGTTTCTCCTCTTTTGGTGGGGGTGTAAACTCAGAGGAGCCAAGCAAAACACGCCAGTGGTTACCAGGCTTGGGCAGAACCCCAGGGGTGCAATCCCAAAGCAATGAGGGCTCCTTTCCCAGCAGGCTCGATGTCAGCTGGATCCAGGGAATTCAGCTCGGGCTGCTGGAGCCAAGGCTTGCCCCAGAGCTCTTATTGTTGGAGTGGAACATAAGACGTGTGAGTTCGTGGTTTGCCAGCAACTCAGACAAGGAAGCAAACACTCCAGCTGCAGGATGGGCTGTTCCTACTTGGCATGGCTCTCTAAAGCAGGATTTTTATCTGTTCCCTTTCCTGAGTTCAGTTCTCCCTCCCCATTTTCCATTCCCTATCGCTTTCCAGAGCCATGCCCTTGGCACTTGTTGTCAGATGTCAGATATTTGAAGTTGGAGTTGTATTTTCTATGAATGCTTTGTGGTTGTGGATCTCAAATTTCCAGGGAAAAAAACCAAAAAACAAACAAACCTGTATTTGCCTTCCAGATAAGAGAAAAAAGAAAACTTCATTTATTTTCTCTCTAATTTCTTCTAATCTGCCTTAATCTCCTGGTTACCATGCAGGGAGTGCTGGAGTCCCTGTCCCTGGAAGTGTTTAAAAATCCTGAGAATGAGGTTTAGTGCTGGGTCAACAGCTGGACTGATGGTCCTGGAGATCTTTCCCAACTTTAAGGATTCTAAGATGATTTTAAAAGGAAAAAAGGACTTGTGGTTCAAAAGGGTTTCAGCTCCTCTGAGTGTAACCAAAGCAGATTCCACAGGAGCTGTCCATGGGCAGATCAGTGTGGTGGGATCTCCTCCCCATCCAAGGAGAATTTGGTTTATATGTGCAATTCTGTCACTTAAACATTGACATCATTGGGAATGTTGTTCCCACTGGAAGCAGGGAGAAGTAAAATCCCATGTGGCCTCCCATGTCTCTGGGATCAGTTCCTTGTGCTGGTGGTAAGGCGTGGATGGAACTCAGGATTTGCCTAAATGGAAGAGGTAAATATAGAAATAAACCAAATTGTGAGGGAAAGGTTCTCCCAGCACAGCACAATTTCCACTCAAACCATCTGAGAACTTACTTTACTCATTTCTTTCTGCTCAAACCAGGTTCTTTTCAAGGGGTTCTGTTCTTTTCCTCCTTTCAAGGACCACGTGGAGCCCAGGAGCAGCTCGGACTCAGGTGGTGAAAGCACAGCACCATTTTCCTGCCTTGAGGGAAGAAGGCGAGTCCTGGAGGTCCCCAAGAAATGACAGAATTTCCAAGCCAGGGAAGCTGGAATGACCTTTCCTTGAAACTCCGGGCTAGGAATAATTCCCTTCACATGTCCTGAGTGGGGATGAGCTGGCTGTGGTGCCAGGAAAGGTGAGGGGAATATTTCAGTTACTCACCTTGTATTTATTCACTTGTCATTTCAGGGGAACAACGTGAACCCTCTCCTTTCCTCCTCCCAGGCCATGAATAACATTGAGGAAATTGTTTGCACTTGGAAACCACAAGGTGGGGAGGTCAGGGATATAAAAATGCAAAGAATTGTAATCTGTGAGTGAAACTGTGAAATCAAATGTTGAGCAAGATGCTTCGAAAGGAAACAATATATTTTCAGAATTAGATCACAAGTGATTTTTTTTTTTTTGCTGTACAGAATAATTTCTCATTCACTCTTTGAAGGAAATGAAAAAGAAAATTACATTTCATCTCTCTCTCCAGCCCTTTACTCTAACAAATACTTAGGCAGAATTTCTTGTCCTCTAATTTGAATTATCAGTTTGAGAAATGTTTTTTTCCTCAACTCTCCAGCTTGTTTCCAATTCTTTGCCTATAAGGAAATGATTATGCTTCCCCTTTCCCACCTTTTATCTCTTTTCCTCAAAATTAGAGCTTTCTGTAATTTTTTCCCCATGGTATCATACTCAGAGATAAAGCTGGATACATGGAGATGACTCAGAACTATTGCAAAAATTGTGATTTTTCTTTTTTTTTTTATTTTAAACAATGTCAACCCAATGAGAATATTTAACATAACCATGTCAACTACAGGGATAGAATTTACTTGAATTTCCTCAGATCAAGGCCTGGGAGAGCTGGTGAGAAGGAATTCCACTGAGGGGAGGAATGAATTTGGAAGCGAGGGATCAGGTGTATCAGCAAAGGAATTAAAGCTCAGGGAACAACGGGACCACTGAATCAAGTTGTTTGCTTGGAAACTTCTCCAGGCTGCAGCAGAGAGAAGGAAAGAAATCCACCCCACCTCAGCCAGGTCTTGGAAAGCCTCCAGCAGAGTTCAGCCTCTCGAGGGCAGAGGAAATGCCTGAGGAGGGGCTGCTGGATGTGCAGAAAATGCTCAGCTGTGGGCAGGAAAAAAGCAGGAGCTGGCAGGAGATCTGCTCTGGAATGAAGGAACTGAGGGGGAGAACAGAGCTGAGAGGGGCCTGCAGGAGCCTGGAGGGAGGAGCTGGATCTTTGGGGTGTCCCACACCTGGGCGGTGGGATTTGGGAACAGGGTGGTTTGATGGTTTCTGTGATTACAGGGGTGCCAGGGGCCTGCAGGAGCCTGGAGAGAGGAGCTGGATCTTTGGGGTGTCCCACAGCTGGGTGCTGGGCACAGCCCTGGTTTGGGAACAGGATGGTTTGATGGTTTCTGTGATTACAGGGGTGCCAGGGGGGCACTGCAGCCCTGCCAGCGAGGCAGTGGGAGCAGTTCCCTCTCCCATCCATTGCCAGCACTCCCTTCTCCAGAGGATGAGGAGCCTGGTGACAGTGAACTCTCCTTGGCTTCAGCAGGGAGGGAAGCAGAGCCTTGCCCAGGGTGGGAACATCCTTCATTCCCAGAGGAATGGGTGGCACCACCCTCCAGCATTTGATTCAGGATCAGAGCTGCCTCCTGAAATTCCCATGACATCCTTCATGTCCTCAAATCCTTCATGTCCATCCTGCTGGAAGAAACAGGAGGGTTTTAAGAAGTGTAAATGTTCTGAGAAGGCATCTTTTCAAAGATGAACTATCCAGGAAATGCTCAGTGGCTCTCAGGCAGCTGTTCAGTATTTCCAGCAAATAACCTGGGGATTTTTAGAACTTAGCACTGTCAAGGTCCACCAGGAATTTGTGTATTCTGAGGAAAACAGGCACAAAGGCAAAGCTGTGCATGGAGCCAAGTTCAAGTGTTACCCAGAAATTCAGTTATAGTCCCCAAAGCTCTGAATTTCCAGGCTGGTTTGAGTGGGAAGAGACCTTAAAATCATCTCATGCCACACCTTCCAGAGGACCAGGCTGCTCCAAGCCCTGTCCAGCCTGGCCTGGAACATCAGAAAATCCTCTGATGGAGGATTTTCTGAGAAGCTACAGATCATTAATGGTGCTCCTGCACTCTCCAGGGAGTGTTTTCACTGACTGTTGGAGAAGGAGTCTGGCAGCAGCTGTCCTCAGAAGAGCTGTGAATTTCAGGAAAAATCAGAACAATACTGAACAATATTTAGCACAAGGAGCCATAAACCCTCCCTGCTCGGTGCTCGTGGCACTCGGCACAGGCAGGAGCTGTTTGCTGTGGCACAGGATCCCTCCCAGCCACAGGAGCTTCCTCAGGCCGGGATCTTTGCTCTCAGAGAGATTTATGGGGCAGAAAAGCTTCCTCAGCCTCTTCCCAGCACCTTGTAGGAGTCGGGCTTGTCTTGGGATGGTGCATAAATGCCCAACAGTGTTTGAGTGAGACACAGAGGTTTGTAATAACCCATTCCTCAGCACATGGAGGGATTAAAAACTGTTTGCAGGGGGGAAGCATGAGATTTTTCCTTCAGAAAATGGATAATGGGGTAATGATGGTGCAGTCAATTTAACCATGTGAAACACAGCTCCTGCTTTGTTGCAGTCTCCCCAAAGACAGCAATAACTGAGCAGCTGAACCCTGAAACTCCTACTGGTTTCCTGGGAGTGTTTGCTGTCCTGAGTGCTCCCTGCACCTGACTGATCTGTGCAAGGAGGGGAGGCCACAGGCACAAGGGTTTTATGGCCCCCATAAAGTCCTGTACACAGCATTTCCTCCATTTGCTGCTGCTAACCACAGCACTTGGGATCATATGGCACTTTAAGTGCTCTGATTTATGGGGAGGCAGCAACTGCATCTCTAATCAGCATTCTAAAGGCTGAGTTTAAGAGCAATCCACTGTGTTTATTTGGGACATAAACACTCATGCAGTGCATGTGGGAATCGGGGCTGAGCTCACAGGAGCATCTCAGCCACAGCAGGGTCACAGCAAGGTGGAGGTGATTGGGGGAAAGGCAAATATTGGGAATTGGCAAATGGAAAAGTGTCTTTTCCTCCTGTTAAATATTCTGGATGTGTGGCTGTAATTTCCTACTCTCTGATAAAGAGCCTGATGTTACACAGAACAGGATAAACACAACCCCGGGCTCGATTTAGCTTTGCTTCCCGAAGTTATCCGTTTGATCTGTGGATAGAAATTGTCTCCCTGGAATTAGGAAACTCCAGGTGGCTCTGCAAGGACAATTATCTTTGAGCTCCCTCAAGTGGCAATGAAATCCTCGAGTTTGTCACAGAAATCCTCGAGTTTTTTACAAAACCCCTCGAGTTTGTCCCAGAAACCATGGAGTTTTTTACAAAATCCTTGAGTTTGTCACTGAAGCTCTTGAATTTTTTACAGAAACCCTTGAGTTTTTCACTGAAATCCCTGAGTTGTTTTTTTTTTCCAAAAACCCTTGAGCTTGTCACTGAAACGCTCACATTTTTTACAAAAACACTGGAGTTTGTCACTGAAATCCTCAAGTTTGTCACTGAAACTCTCCAATTTGCTGCACAACTGCTTTTCCAGCAAAGCCTTGTAATTTAAGACCCTGTTTTTCACAGCCACTGTTGCAAACTGAGATGCTCAGATTTCACGGAATCTGAGCCAGTTCAGAGCAGATGAACATGATTCATTTAATAACACATTTCTATTTTGGCAGGACTCTGAACAGACACGTATCAAGTGAAATGAAGTGATTTGTGTCCAAGAGGAGTTTGCAGCTGATTCACAACATGATACCTGCATGTTTTGAGAGGTTGTTTTGACTTTCCTCCATGGTTCCTTATCAAATTCGTGACACAGTAGCTGGGAAGTGAATGTGTTGTTCAGCAGCTCAGGTAAAAGTCAGCCCTTTGCTTTCTACACCTTGAAAAGGTAAATAAATAAATCCTTTGGCCTAAATCACAAGTGGTTGTGCCTCACTAAGGGCATATTTAATTCAAAAAGAGCATCTTTTAATCAGAAAGTAATTGATTATCTCCTGCACACAGGATTCAGGTAATTTTTGGTGCAAGAAGGTGAAATTTGACGGCATAGTGGAGCTTTTTACAGTAAAAAAATAGCTGTTTGAAAGGCTTGTCTAATATGGCAAGAACCTTTTGGAGCTCAAGAAAAATGACTTTGGAGAAGAGAAACCTTCCAGTGTTGGAACCTGGATGGGATACTGCCATCCTTTGGTGTCCCTTCCATCCCACACCGTGCTGTGATTCCGTGATCCCACGACTTTAACACCCAAAATAAGGACAATGGAGCAATTTCACAAACTTTGCATTTCCCTGGATGCTTCTTGTGGGCTGCTTGCAGCCTGGCCCTCAAACTCCACTTCCATTTTCCATTCCCCCCTTTCCATTCCCCCCTTTCCATTCCCCCCTTTCCATTCCCCCCTTTCCATTTCCCCCTTTCCATTCCCCCCTTTCCATCCCCCCCTTTCCATTCCCCCCTTTCCATCCCACTCTTTCCATTCCCCCCTTTCCATTCCCCCCTTCCATTCCCCCCTCCATTTCTGTTACAGATACAAATTACAATGTTGGCTTTTCACGAATATTACAATGGATTTTATGTGTGGTGTTAAAGTAAGTTTGCCATAAAGATACAGTTTTTATTTCTGTTTAATTAAGTTAGTGCAATAGCTGATATCAGTGTGCTTGTGTTAAAATCCTGCTGGGATGGGATAACACCCAATGGCCACAGGCTGAGGGCACCTGTACAGATCTGCCAATGTCAAAAACGCCAATCACTTGGTTTTTAACATTTTTAAAGTTTAATAATAATAAAATGGTTATAAAAATAATAATACAATTAGAGTAATGAAGTTTAGAGTTAGGACAATTACAAGACAATAAAAAGCAAAGAATTACGGAGGTCCGGATGCTCTGGGACACTAAGTCATGAAAAGCATCCCTTGTGAACAAAGGAATAACCTTAAAACAATACACTTGTTGCATGTTCATAAATCCTTCATGGTTATGCATACATTCTATTCTAAACAAGAAACTCTGTCTGTTGTATGTCAACTGTTTCCTTTAATCCCCACGGCCTCTTTGAGTCTGAGCAAGTCCTGAAGAAATTAGTTTCTTCTGATAAGAAGGCATAAATTCCTTTTTTTTTTGGAAGATTTAGGTGTTCCTCAAAGTGAGTATCTCATCCTAAAAAAAAAAACCTCCTCCCACATCCATAGTCTCTATTTTAACATTATGTTAGAACCTAAAACTATGTTTAACACACTACTTAAGAGAATTCATACAGCATAACTTTCTAACATTACACATATAATATTCATTGTAATATTAGCGAAAAGCCAATATAAAATCCGCATTTTTCACAGCAGGAAACTGAAGCTCGTTTTTCCCAATTTCCGTGTTTTTAGCATTTATTTCGCGCTCCCGTTTCCATGGTGGGCCCTGCAGGCCGGGCCCGCCGCTGCCATGGCAACGGGTCACGTGTCGCGAGTGTCACGTGTCATGAGTGTCACGTGTCGCGAGTGTCACGTGCGGGCGGTCACGTGTGCGGCCGCGATGGCGGAGGAGCAGCGGGCGCTGCTGGGCCCCGATGGCCCCGATGGCGCTGAGGGCGGTGGTGGCGGCGGCTCCCCGGGCCCTCCCCGCGCCCTGCCCGCCGCCTGCGACCCCCGCCGCCTCCCGCACCGCCTGCTCGTCCTGGCCCTCATGTGCTTCCTGGGATTCGGTGCGGGACGGGCCCGTGGGGGTGTGGGGGGTGTGGGGTGTGAGGGCCGGGACACAGCCCTGAGGCGGCTCCTTCTCCCTGCAGGCAGCTACTTCTGCTACGACAACCCGGCCGCTCTGCAGACGCAGGTCCAGAGGGTGAGTCGCTGCCAGGGCGCGTTGAAAAACACGGAGGGTGAGGTTCTGTGTGGGCATGGGCTGAAGGGACAGCGGGGAAAGGCTGCCCGCCGGCACGGGGGAGATGGCATTTGGGATTTGGGCAGGAATGGTTCCTTGGGAGGTGGACAGGCCCCGTACGGGGTGGCCCCGGATCCCGGGCAGTGCCCAAAGCAGCTGTGACTGTTCCTGGGTCCCTGGCAGTGCCCAGAGCAGCTGTGGCTGCCCCAGATCCCTGGCAGTGCCCAAAGCAGCTGTGGCTGCCCTGAGTCCCTGGCAGTGCCCAAAGCAGCTGTGACTGTTCCTGGGTCCCTGGCACTGCCCAAAGCAGCT